GATCTGAGAATTGAATTAGTGGGCAATTCTCACTGTTACTATTATTAACCCATAAATATCCCCACAGGGCGGACCCTGAACCAGCGCTGGGGACATCGGCGCTGGATGCAGGTATGTCACTGAAGGGGTTTTAACCACTTCAGCAACTTGGGATGGGGGGTGGGAGTGAGAGGGGACCTGCAGTGCCAGGAAAACGGTTTGTTTTCCTGGCACTGGAGTGTCCTTTTAATTACAAGAGACAAAAACCAGTGGGTGAGTAGCTGAATATATAGCAGATGAGCAAAAATGAGGACTCTGGCAGATCCTGGTAAGTCGCAGGTTGTTTCATAGATCTTCCCTCTTGCAATATATCATATAGATTGTGCGTCTTGCCGGAAGAAGCATGTTCCTATCAGCTGTCACTCATGATGGCTGATGGAGGTGACAGAAGCAATGACCATGGACACATTATTTTAAAAAAAAAAAGGCAGATTCTAAATGAGACAAAGTATAAACTTTGAGTTTTCAATATAGAATCCATGAAAAGCTCCAAAGTGACAGCTCATTGAAACGGTCTGGTTGCAATGTCCCATGTTCCTTAAAGGACCACTATAGTGCCAGGAAAACATACTCGGGGGAGGAAGGGGTCTGGGGGGGAGTAAGGTGCGCATTCAGCCAGTCCATAGGAAAGCATTCACAATGCTTTCCTATGGACGCTTGCGTCTTCTCACTGTGAAAATCACAGTGAGAAGCACGCAAGCGCCTCTAGCGGCTGTCAAGAGACAGCCACTGGAGGCTGGATTAACCCATTTCTCTGAAACTGCTATGTTTATAAAAAAAAAGGTTAACCCTAGCTGGACCAGGCACCCAGACCACTTCATTAAGCTGAAGTGGTCTGGGTGCTTATAGTGGTCCTTTAAGTTTGAGAAAGTGCAAGAATTACTTCTGAGTGTTAACTCCTCCTCTAGTGGCTGTTTACCAAACAGCCACTAGAGGGACTTCCGGAATTTAAATGGACCTTTGATTTGGTATCTTACGCTGGACGTCCACACGCTATTGAAAAATGCTTTCCTATGGGGAAATACTCATGCAAGCGTGGCCACTGCCGTGCATGCACATGATGTCTTCACCGCTGGCTGATGGCGGTGGAGGAGCATAGGCGGAGCCTGACCCGGCACCAGGGGACATCGGCACTGGCTTCAGGTAAGTGACTGAAGGGGTACTGCAGGATTCTATAAACAACTTTGTTTTCCTGGCACAATAGAATCATTTTAAACCAAAACACATCACACTTCTATATCTCCAAAATTTGGGAGGTGTGAGATTGGGAAAGGTGGGTGAGTCTCAAAGGGGGTATAACCTGTGACATACCGGTGGCATTCCGTCCTTTCTGAAAGTTAATTTCAGAAGCCAAGTGCTGATTGGGGAACTAAATAGTCTGCACTGAAGGCACCTTTTGGGGTTAAACCGCTTCAGGGAAGAAAGTGCTCAGGTACCTCCTAGCACCATAACAAAGTCCTTTGGATGAAGTTGTTATGGTGCCCAGAGTATTCCTTTAAATGTTTTCTACTAACACTGCAATAACTAGAATACAATAATAATATTATACAAACAGTTACATAATATAAACTCAGACACTGTATAAATGTGTTTGGTTCTATCAGTTTATATTATTTCTCCATTTCAATGTTGCTATGCAGTCAGTGCCAGTGGAAGGAGATGTAAACCCTGCCAAGAGCCCCCCTTTGATGGAAGAGCATGTTAATAGACGGTATGCTAATAGTGGTGTGAGATAGGGGGTATGATATTGTGTGGTGTGATACTGAGTGGGGAGATACATTTCATTCCATTCCCAGATCGCTGGACGTTCTATTCGGTCTCTAGGAACATTCCATCACTCTGTATCCTATCAGGGCAGCTAATGGGCGGTAACACTGTTTCCCTGGAGGACAGTGCAGGCAGTCAATGAGCGGCTCCGTCACATGGCGGCTGGTACTCGGTGTGTGCAGCACGGAATGTCCCCGGTACCCCGCGTTATGTCCTATTCAGTGACACTTCAGATTGTGTGCAGCAGGCTCCGCCCCCTCATTTCATTACTGAATTCTCCTGCTTTCTCTTCCCTCCCTGCAGGGGGAGGTGGGGAGCTGGATGGAATGGCAGGCTGTGCAGGGGGAGGTGGAGAACTGGATGGAATGGCAGGCTGTGCAGAGGGAGGATGGAGAGCTGGATGGAATGGCAGGCTGTGCAGGGGGAGGTGGGGAGCTGGATGGAATGGCAGGCTGTGCAGGGGGAGGTGGAGAGCTGGATGGAATGGCAGGCTGTGCAGGGGGAGGTGGAGAGCTGGATTGATTGAGCGTGAAACGTATTTCCAGGGCTGTTGATGCAATAAAGGTGAGTCGGGTTTTATTGATGTTAAACTGCAGTTTAGTTTGGGATAAAGTATCTGTCAGTGTGGGGGAGATAACAGATACAGGAACTAGTGAGGCGAAGTTTGTCAGATTGGGGAGAGCAGAGAAGCCAGGATCTCCCACTCACTACTGAACGGTCTGACTGGTAACAATGTGTCAGCAGTTCATATAGTGAGCGGAAATACCGCGCGCGGGCTACTCCCTCTGCTTCGGGTTCGAGTCTTCTGATGGTGAGTTAGAACTATGGCCTTTATACCATTTATAGCCTGAGTGCATGTTCTGCCCAGAGACGGCCTGAGTGCATGTTCTGCCCAGAGACGGCCTGAGTGCATGTTATGCCCAGACAGCCTGTGTGCATGTTATACCCAGACACGGCCTGAGCGCATCTTATATGCCCAGAGAGGGCCTGAGCGCATGTTATGCCCAGAGACGGCCTGAGCGCATGTTATGCCCAGAGACGGCCTGAGTGCATGTTATGCCCAGACAGCCTGTGTGCATGTTCTGCCCAGAGACGGCCTGAGTGCATGTTATGCCCAGACAGCCTGTGTGCATGTTATGCCCAGAGACGGCCTGAGCGCATGTTATGCCCAGAGACGGCCTGAGCGCATGTTATGCCCAGAGACGGCCTGAGCGCATGTTATGCCCAGAGACGGCCTGAGTGCATGTTATGCCCAGACAGCCTGTGTGCATGTTCTGCCCAGAGACGGCCTGAGTGCATGTTATGCCCAGACAGCCTGTGTGCATGTTATGCCCAGAGACGGCCTGAGCGCATGTTATGCCCAGAGACGGCCTGAGCGCATGTTATGCCCAGAGACGGCCTGAGCGCATGTTATGCCCAGAGACGGCCTGAGTGCATGTTATGCGGACAGAGAAGGGAGAGGCTGCTGTTTAAAGAGGATGTCTTTAGGAGGGCAACAACCCAGCAGCTGGACCGCTACCTCCGTCTTTGTGCAAGGAGGAACAGGAGGGGCACTGCCAGAGCCCTGCAAAATGACCTCCAGCAGGCCACAAATGTGCATGAGCCTCATTTTAACTTGTTTTAAGGACATTACATCAAGCTTGGATCAGCCTGTAATGTGTTTTTTCACTTTCATTTTGAGTGTGACTCCAAATCCAGACCTCCATGGGTTGAAAAATTAGATTTTCTTTTTTTGTGTGTAATTTTGTTGTCCGCACATTCAACTGTGTAAAGAACAAAGTATTTCAGAAGAATATATAATTCATTCAGATCTAGGATGTGTTATTTTTGTGTTACCTTTATTTTTTTGAGCAGTGTATATATACATATAAGGGATGGCCGCAGGCTCCAGGGGGATTTGCCAATATCCTTTGCACAAATCCAGGGTAGTGAGGTAATTACACCTCCAGCCATCCTATTTAGGAGCTAGTCTATCCTAGACATGGGGTAAGCGTTATGGTCCTGTCATTGAGTTTCTGGTAGTCAATACAGAAGCGAGTCGTACCGTCTCGCTTGGGTTACCAGCACTACCGACGAAGCCCAAGGACTCTGCAATGGCTCTATAACTCCTAGTTTGAGCATCTCTTGGAGTTCTGCCAGCATGTTGTCTCTAACCTCCGCAGGTATACGGTAGGGTTGTTGCCTGAGCGGGGTTTCCCCTTGGGTCTCAACTCGATGGACCACAGCAGAGGTGTACCCGGGTAGGGCAAAGAACATGTCCCTGTATTCCTGGAGCAGCTGAGACGCCTCACTCTTTTCCTGGGGGTTTAACCCCTAGCTGCACCTGCTCTATCGTGTTGGGGCCGGCAGCGAGTAAGTTCGGTAGGGGGATGCCCTCACTATCCTCACAAGCAGGGGCACATACGGCCGCTATATCCCCTATACACTCAAAATAAGGCTTCAGCATATTCACATGAAAGGCTCTCTGAATCCTTTCATCTAAACCTTTTGCTGACTATATACATGGTGTCACTAGTTGTCTCCACTACCTTGAATATTCTCTGCCAGGCGGGCTGAAGCTTGTCTTTCTTAGAGGGCTTCAGAGCCATTACTCGCTGTCTTATTTCGAAGACCCTATCTCGGGCACCACTATCGTACCATCTTTTCTGGCGCTTCTGGGTCGCCTGCAGGTTCTCCCGAACTGATTCGGTGAGAGTCTTCAAGCGGTCCCTAAACTCCAGAACATAATGTACAATAGGGACTTCCCCCCCCCCCCTTCTGTGTTGCCATCCCAGTGCTTCCGTATGAGATACAGTGGTCCCTGGACTTTTCTCCCATAAAGGAATTTCAATGGGGGAGAACCCTGTAGATGCCTGGAGCACCTCCCGGTAGGCAAACAGGAGGTGGGGAAGGAACCTCTCCCAGTGTGGACAGAACGCTGTGAATGTTCTAAGCATTTGTTTGAGCGTGGCGTTAAAACGTTCGCATAGTCCATTGGTCTGGGGATGGTAGGGAAAGCTGAACAAGGATTTCACGCCGCAACGCTGCCATAATTGTTGGGTCACAATTGCGGTGAACTGTGTCCCTCTGTCAGAAAAAATCTCCATGGGGAAGCCTACCCGAGTAAAGATTTTCACTAAGGGTTCTGCCAATGTCTCTGCCTCTATATTGGAAAGGGCTACTGCCTCAGGGTATCTAGTAGCATAGTGATAAAACACACAAGAAATGTTATGGAGCTGAATTTAAAACTATAATATATACTAATAAGCAGCATTATATATTGGGAAAAAGCTCAATCACCAAATTAGAACAATGTAAGAATAAAGTGCGCTGTGCCTTTAAGACTCAAAATATTTATAAACCGTGAAAACTTGTGCAATATTGTGTAAAGTGATCAAGTGCATCAATGTGCAACTCACTTAAACATATATATATATATATATATATATATATATATATATATATATGCAAATTGTGCAAACAAAATATTTCTTTGTGCAATACTTAGCTTTCCCAATTATGGAATATGCTTTAGGGCTTCTGTCAGCAATCAATATATGTCTCAAAAAAAGTAGGGATCGACCAATTATCGGTCTGGCCGATATTATCGGCCGATATTTGGTATTTTCGGCAATATCGGTATCGGCCAATTCAGATCCCGATATTGCCGATAATATATAACAGGACCGCCGGACCCATTACAAGCCCAGCGGTCCTGTGGGGGCCAGCAGCAAGCGCTGACTTACCTTGCATGCAGCTCCTACAGCTCTCTGTGTAAATCTCGCGAGACCCGCGGCCGCAGAGCGTTGCCACGGGTTACCATGGCAACGCTCCGCGCGGCACTAAGAGCCGCGAGATTTACACAGGGAGCTGTAGCAGCTGCTTGCAAGGTAAGTCAGTGCTTGCTGCTGCTGAGTCACCACTGTACTTAACAAGCCACTGGACCACCAGGGAATACTATATCCCCCTCCCTGGTAAGAAGCAGGGAGGGGGGACTAAACAAAAAATAAAAAAACATTTAAATATTAAAAAAAATATTAAAATAAAAAATTACACAAATTACATCACTACACAAACACACACACACAAACACACACTGCACACATACTGCATTACATACACACTACACAAACACACACTGGGGGGGGACTAAACAAAAAAAAACATTTAAATATTAAAAAAATATTAAAATAAAAAATGACACAAATTACATCACTACACAAACACACACACACTACACAAACACACTGCACACATACTGCATTACATACACACACACTGCATTACATACACACTACACAGGCACACACACTGCATTACATACACACACTACACAGACAGACACTACACACACACCACAAACACACACTGCACACATATTGCATTATAGACACACACTGCACACACTACACTGCACACACACTGCATTACATATACACACTGCATTACATACACACTACACAAACAGTACACATACTGCATTACATACACACTACACAAACACACACTGCATTACATACATACACACTACACAAACACACACACACTGCATTACATACACACACAAAAACACACTGCATTATACACACACACTACATTCATTATACACACACTACACAAACACACACTCTGCATCCACTACACACACACACACACACACACTACACAAACACACACAGTTCCCCTGTCTAAACACACTTCATCCACTACATGTGGCATATATATTTTGTGCATTTACCTTTCGAATTTGTTTATTTATTCAAAATAGTAAATGTACAGAATATCGGCAAGATATCGGCTATCGGCCTGAAAGTTCGCAGATTATCGGTATCGGTATCTGCTCTAAAAAATCAATATCGGTCGATCCCTAAAAAAAAGAGAGGAAATATACAATCATAGGGTAATATGTACATAAACAATAATAAAGAAAATGTAAGCTGAAACAGCGTCGCTAAGCCCCGCCTCCCGGAAGTGTTTGGAATCAGGAAGTCTTTTCGGCACACAGAGACTCTGTATAGCCGGCGCCGATATAGAGACTGTACACACCAGCACTAACCAAAGAGGTGACCAGATAAGTGGGACTTACCAGCCTAATACAGCGATATTTTTAAAGAAGCAATAAAGGATTTAACTTCACCACAGTTTCCAACCTACGTTATTGCAATACAAGCCTACAAAGTTTAGAGCAGACTTTATTGCTCTACCCTTGTGAGTGTTTCAGTTTACATTTTCTTTATTATTGTTTATGTACATATTACCCTATGATTGTATATTTCCTTTCTCTTTTTGAGACATATATTGGATTGCTGACAGAAACCCTAAAGCATATTCCATAATTGGGAAAGTGAAGTATTGTTGTTTTGCACATAATTGGTTGCACAAAGAAATATTTTGTTTGCACAATTTGCATATATATGTTTAAGTGAGTTGCACATTGATTCACATTATCACTTTATTTACACAATATTGCACAAATTTTCACGGTTTATAAATATCTAATAACATAGCCTACTACCGTGATAATGTAACCCTTTCCGGAGGCACTGGATTTACTGCAGGGTCCTATTAAATCTATGGCCACCCTGTTAAATGGTTCCTCAGTGATAGCTAGGGGGTGCAGTTTCACTCTCTGGCAATCATTTCCCTGTCCTTTGACACACATCACAGATCCTGCAATAATTCTTTAGATCCTTGGATATACCTGAGGGTCTGAGTTAACCTATCCTTAGTTTTAGTCACTCCTAAATGACCTGCCAATGGAATATCATGGCCCCACTTCCCGCTCCCCCTGTTACCCGATATAAGAGCCTCTCCTCTTGGGGTTTTCTGCCTCCTTCCTATTGCCCTCTAATGTGTGATCCGCCCTCTGTTCCTGCCCAAAACCTATGGGGGGGGTGACTGGACCAAGGGTCCTACTTGAGGATCCTCTGAGTGCGCTGGCTCCCCTCTGCGTGTTTGTGCCCTAGTG